CTAAATAAAAAATGGTTTTATACGTAAATTGCAATTTATTTAAAATGCCAAGTTCAAGGAACTGCCTTGTCACTTTGATCATACATGGAAGTGGAGCCTATAGTTTTAATTTAAAAGATTTTTTTTTCAATAAATACATCTAATTTATATTTACATAACATTACAAGCATTAAATATAACACTGAAATGGTAACAAAAAACGCACATTATTATTAATAATATCAAATAAATGTCAGTCACAAAATTACGTCATTGGTGTTGTTGCTACACAAAACGCTTTTATTTTTGAAATAATGTACTGTCTCTGAAGTGCCTCCTGTAACAAGAGATCATTTGAGACAGTGCAGTGGACAAAGACATAAGGAAAGTCAGATACTTCTTACTTTGTTTGTTAAAGGTGTCATTTTATCTTCAAATTTTACGTGCGTCTTTCAAGTCTGTCATTAGTGTTACTCATTGCATAGCCCTAGGGGTGAACATTTGAATGGGAAAATGAGTTAAACGATTTTGATATTGACTGAAGCCATATTTGGTCTGACACTGCAGCCATTTTGTTAAAATTGTAGTGTTTTCTCCAAATTGTCACTGGTGTTACCGTCACTGGTGTTACTCTTCTTCCTGGTAACACGTAACACCAGTGACATTCCTATACAAATAAGCTTTGTATAAAGTATAAAAATAATTAAAAAAATTAAAATATTTTAAGCTCTACTTGTTGTGGATTCGAGTTAGTTATTGCTATTTAACAGGTTTTATATGTTTTTAGAAGGACTATATTTCAGCAGATTTGTATCACCCAGATTCCACCTTTTCTGTAGAATGACCCGATTACGTAACGCCGTTACATGTGGGGAACAGCCGGGACGCCAATACGGAAGTGCCACACACTGCAGTTCATACATGGGCCGCTAGGGACTGGCTGCAGAAAGGAGCAATTTCCAGAGACCCCCATGTTAAAATGCCCAACTTTAAAGCAGAAAAAAACATGTTTCTACCCATGGATGCAATAAATATTATTATCGATATAGTTAGATTCCACCTTCATGATTATGAATCTGTGAGTGAATTGTTTTCTAACACGACCCTTTTATTTATATTAGGTCTTAACGTTTTTGCATAAATTAGGGCGTGGTCACTTTGATGGACACGTACATGTCTCACTGTCAGCTAACAGCAACTTGTCCACTCTGCTAGGCTACAACCATAGAGGCTACAACGTTAGTTAGTCATAGTACTGTACTTGACCCTTTAGCTTTAGCCGTGTTCGTGGTGATTGTGCCTTTAAGGGAATATTATTACAAATACCAGACAATTAAAATGTCGTGCTGTGCACTTGAATTTACTAACAGAACTTCCAAGAAGTCTAAAATGATAATATTATACATGTTAACCCGTTCGCAGGTGTTTGTGTGCTTGGTAGCTTAGCTTGTTACTTATTAGCCAGCTAAGGACGTAACCCTTTATGCATACATATACATTTTAGTTTATGATTCAGCCTTGGGTAAGACTTTTATAGTCTATGGCTATGACGCCCATAATGCTAAACGGGAGCAAATAGGCTTGTTTGAGACGCGTTGCGGCTCGCCTCGAAAGTCGACGAGAATAGCCGATCGCAGCTGGGGGAGGTCTCAAAAAGCTCGCCTGAAGTCGGACAGCTCGGAGTCGGCTTCGTCTTCTTCTTCTCTCGGTTTTTTGGCGGATTGCAAACAACTTTAAGGTGCATACCGCCACCTCCGGAGTCGGCTTGACTCGGTTTGCATTTATAAAGAATGCATACATGTGTTTAATCGTTAATGTCAGATAGCCTATATGTACTAAGTAAATACATTTGTTCCTGCTCAAGATTAGATTCAACTTTATTGTTATTGCACATATTACAGGTACTGAGACAACAAAATGCAGTTTAGCTTCTAACCAGGTGCAACAAGCAGTAAAGTGAAAAGTAATGTACACAATAGACAGAATAAAATATAGAATGAATTGAATGATGAATAAACAGTGAGGGGTATGAATAGATATACACAGCAGCCTGAGAGCAGTATGAACAGTGTGTATGAATATGCTAAGATATATAAAGTATGAAAACGGTAAGCAGTGCAAGTATAGTATAAGATATATGGATATTAATCGCCGCGCCTCGCTCTCAAGGCTGCGGGCGTCTTTGTCCCGCGAAATTTCAACGTCTCATGTAGGCGAGCCTCCAGAGCAAGTCTGGAGTTGACGTCTATGGCTGCTTCTCAGGTCGACTATTTTCATTTCCTCGCTCCTCGGTCCTCGGTCTCACCGGAAGTTGATTTGCCTGCGCCATCTTGAGTACCGTCCCATGGCTCTTATTTCTGCCGGAGGACCGAGGATCGAGGATCGAGGAGCGATCATGGAGGAGCGATAACCGAGGAACCACCAGACCATCCTCCGATGAAATCCTCAGATACTCACCCCGCCCCCTTACTGTGTATCGCTCACTGATTGGACGAGGCAGTGCATGCACTGATCTGATGCTTCTTGACATGAGAGCAATACCCCAGCGGAGTGAAGAAAATACATGAACCTCACGGGACTCACTCCTCAGTTTATACCGTGTTTTGTTTCAATTAATGTATCATTTAGTTACAAATATGAGATATATCTGAACAACAAAGTGGTCAAAAATCATTTTATTCATTTATTGGAAACATTTTCATGATCGCTTTTTTCGTTTTACATTTTCATTTATTGTCATTCCCATTCAGTCATTCATTAAGTACTATTAAAATATTAATTTGCTCCACACAAACAAACAAAATGTGCAGTCCAATGAATGTTAATCTAACTGGGTTTTGATAGATAACATATCTGTTTTTGTTCTCTGAATAATTGTATTCCTATTGTGCACTCTAATCAATATTAATCAAACTATTGTTCGTTTAAATACATTTTAAGAATGGCGTTTATCTTTTTTGAGAATGACTTCTTATTTTATTTCATGTATTTGGATCTACAACAGATGATACTAATGTTTATGTCAGTAAATGTGCACTAACAGAGGCGGGGGTGTTTGTGGAAATAACGGGTACAGAGCTGGCTGCTGCCAGACGAACAGCTGTGCAGCGTCATCACAAACGGACGTCGCTTCACGTGACGCTCCGGAGGAAAGGACGTCCCATTGCTCTTAAAACTCATTTCCCTGCCTCTCGTGGTTTCCTTGCGTCCCTCCATGCTTCCCTGGTGGGAGGGACTAAACGCAGGGAAACGACGTAAGTGAGGGAAGCAAGGATTTCATTTAATCGACCTGAGAAGCAGCCATAGATTGCTGCATGCAATTGTGGGTGGGGTTAAAAATCGTATCTTAACGGTCATCTTGAGGAGTAGGAGACCTATCATGCTATATTTAAATGATATAGTGTATGACCATACCTATATAAGGTATATTTATACATTTTATTTTTCAAAATACCAAACAGATCATTTTTTAGCCATGCCTCGTTTCGCTCATTTTCGCTCTTTTCCAAGCCTGTCTTTGAAAATTCTGAGCAGCAGCTGACCACGCCCCCCTGCTGACCACGCCCCCCTGCAGAAGAGCGGGCATGAGCCGGTGAGAGTCACGTTAACATGCTTGCTGTGATTACGAGTGTGGAATAAACATGTCATCTCAGAGCAATGCATGTGTTCAAGCGTATTATCAATTTGATCCAGAGACTGACCCTGAAGCAGCGGAGGTTTTGGTGGAGGTGCAAAGATCTCGGTTGCAGCAGGACGTTTCTGAATGGTTAGTTGACAAGCTGTTGTTCCTATTTATTTTACTCTGTTACGATGCGTGCTACTTATTCCGTTCATATTTTGGCTAATTAGCAAGAATGCTATGTGTACAGTTTATAACTTAGAGCTTGTAACGCAAAAACAGCGATACATATATATATTTATAAAGGGAGACATTCATATTTTCAGCATATATACAATGGCCTCATTGCGTTTATTAATAGTTTAGTCCTTTTCTTCCAACATCGTGCAACAACCGTTGGAAAGTTCAATAACTTAGGGTGATAAAAAGTATAACTCCAACAACACCTCAGTTGTCAGCAGTGTGTGTAGTTTCATGTGTTTTTAAAAGCTCAGTTATTGACTTCTTTCTACAGGTGTACATGTGCAAATTGCGCCACGATGCCTTCTGAACGGAGAATGTGTGCTGCATGGAGATACCACAGGTAACATTTTTGATAGCTTCACTAAGTTGTCTGTTTAGAGAATACATTTTAACATGTCATTCAATATATCTTTATCACACTAGGTGTCAAGACGGATGCAGGAACTTGAGGACTCTATAACCTGTGGTGGACCATCCTGGATTGGAGCCTGTGTGCCTGAATGTGTTCTTCCTGCAGAATGCATTTAATATTTACAGAGCTGAACATGGTGGACTACAGTTGAGGCAAATAGAGCAGTGAGTGGTTTGTTTGTTTTGACTGAAAGTGTAAAACGAATGCTAATATTGTTCATGGAAATAAATACTGGTGTATATGGCTTTATGCAATCTTTCATTGTACATGTACTATTATATATATATATATTATTACACAGCAATGGCATAACACACCCATGTGTACGACAAAAAAAGTCCACACACAACCTTATGCTTTTGAAATCAGAATATTCTTTACCCATCCAAACATGAATAATCACGACACATTTGATATCAACTCTGAACTTTATTGTCAAAATGAACGGTTCTTTGAACCCATAAAAAAAAAACGAAATGTACTTGTATTTTGTATAAATTACACTAAATATTTTTTTTAATGATTTCAGGCGTCACAGGTATCTAGCCTACAGAAGCTTTGTGAGCTGGTGCTGGGGCTTCCTTGGACGCAGGATCAGAGTGGTGATTCCGGTCTGCGTTGTCCTCAAGGAGGCAGGAGTTTCCTGATCCGCAAAATGTCGATGTTGGGTTCAGACAGCAGCCAAATTGAACCGTGTAGCATACCCGGCGATGACCTCGTCCCTGTCAGGTCGCTCATAATGGTGCAGGGTCCACAAAGACTTGGTCGAAGATGAGGTCCATCAAGTTGGCCACGTAGCCTGTGCAATGTTAAAAAAAAAGCACAACAAAAAATGTGGTTTAGATTAGTATATGCATGTAAAAAACTGAAAGTTCTTTCTAATTTTATATTTGTAAATAGTTGTATAATAAATATTTTAAACACTTACGGAATGTGGGGTCAGTCTTTACTGGTTTTGCTCTGCATTCTCCCTTCCTGGCCTTTGGGAACTGCAGTTTATACAGAGGGTTTCCAGGGGATGTAGTGGGTTGTGCACGCTCAGCGTTTTCATTGTAGTGCAGGGCTGCCAGGGACAGTCTTTCATTTCCGCCATGAGAAAAAAAAATGTAAATAATAGCAAAGGATGTACAAATTGTCACTAATTAGTAAGTATGTGAGGTGCTGGCCTGTAAAGAAGAAAACATAGTTGGAACAAAATCATCTCAATTTAGTATTCAGGATGAGAAAATACTATTTGGATAAATATCGTCTGAAATCCCAAAAGATGGGGCTTAAAACTCTCTATTTAGCAAAGCTCTTTGCTTAGCCTTTTCCAATCTGAGTTAGTTTTGAACCGTAACGTGCATGCTGTGTTTCTGACTCAATACAGATGATGTGTTGGAGAGGGGCTGAGCTCAGTAGACTGACTGTAATGAGTGCTAGCCACTAATTAGCCTGTTGCTAGGTAAGGCCTCGTCAACAACAACATACCAACGGGGCTTTAGCTCCGTTTTACTCGTGGTGTGTGTCCCCCCTCGCATACATACACACAGTGTTGTATCCTCACACACCCCCATTTATATTCATGTGCGCAAACAAGTAAACACACAAAAGCTTTTACACATAACGCTGCAAAAAACGGCATGTCTCATTAGCGTAGCGTAGCTTAGCTTACAGATCGATGATATCTGATCGTTCTTACAGACTACAATCACAAAAGCTTTTACATATAACGCTGCAAAAAACGGCACTTACCTACAGAAGATTACGTTTGTTATTATAACTTACTCAATATGATTTTAGAGGACACAAAATACTAATAAATAGGAGAATAAATACTTGTGTTATCGGCTAGGGTGTGGCTTTACAGCCTTCACACAGATGGCCATTACGGCAGTAGGCTATGTCTGAACATGTTAGCAAATGCCTGATAATTAAAATAAAAGACAAAGCAAAGACTGCGGAGCGTACAATATAAAATGTTACAAAAACATATAAACACCTAACCGATTACTATTTGGGTTTGAGGCGACATTGATACGGCAAAGCTACATGCTACATACTACAAGCTAGAGATAGCTTTATCAGGAAAAACACCGCTAAATAAAAACTTACAGCTTCAAAATTGGATGTGTCCTCACTGGCCTGCTCCCGGATGGTTGGTATTGATCCCGGCAATGCACGTGGCCGTGGCTCATTCCCCTGATAGGTGGAGAGTTGACCAATAAGCAGAGCACGTCTCTTTGTGACGTAGGAAAGTGTTGAAATCTGGATCCGTTTTTTTCAGATCCGTTTCAGCCACTTTTTTAGAGATTTGGCGAAGGAGGAAAATAGAGAGGGTTGTGTTTTCTGACACTTGGTGAGTTCCCTGGAACACCGGGGACACATATTCATGTATAAAAGACGTCCAAAGGTGCATTTTGCATGATAGGTCCCCTTTAAACTGTACCAAGTTCTGCTAATCTTTAACCAACATCGATATGGCTGAGGGTCCCGCGAAAAAGAAATCAAAAACGTATTATTTCCACCCGGAATGGGAGCATGAATTTATTTTCACATCAGCGAAAGAGAAGACTATATGCCTCATATGCCAACAGGCGGTAGCCTTGGCGAAACGGGGCAACCTGGAGCGCCATCATGCGAGCCGAGCACCCATGGTAAATTCAAAGACTCATATCCACTCAACAGCGCATGTAGTGGCCAAAATCCCAAAAAGTTTGTCTTGTAACCTTCACCTCAAAAGTTATTGATCCTGGCCACATGTAGAGCTTGGGCCTCGGAAGCAGTGTCAGACTCGCAGTACACAATCCACTGGGCGTTTCAGTTGCTTTTCAACGTTTATTTCCAGTAAAACAAAATACGAAAACAATATGTAACATACACTTAAACAGCAGATCCTAATCATCTGTTTTTTGCTAAGCATAAGGTTGCGTCTGCGTGTCAATGACGGTATTGCTGCTGCCTGCTGCTCTCCCGTCACACACCGCACCTCCAATTTAAAGCCTTAGCCCCGCCCCCTTCACCTGAGCAAAGCACACCTCTCACTGAAACAGAAAAATGCATTAATAAAGGTTCCAAATAAATCAAAACAAAATAAACTTAAATGCGGCTCCTACAGCGCATTAAGAACCAAAATAATTGATGAACTGAAAAGAGGACTAAAAGCACAGCAGTCGCTTTTCATCACGCCTACAGCAAAGAGCAATGCAGCTAGCCTACATAAACGTCCCTCCGGATTAGCCATATTTTGGCTCAGCACAAAAAACCATTTACGAATGGTGAGATGATTAAAGAAGCAATGAGCGCCACAGCTGACGTCTTGTTTGCGGATTTCAAAAACAAAGAGTTCATAAAAGCGAGGATAAAAAGTGTACCACTTGGTGCACCTACTGTAGCCAGAAGAGTCCAGTCATTGTCCGAAGATGTATCCCAGCAAGTATTAAAAGACTTGTCTCTCTCGGAATACTTTTCAGTTCAATTTGACGAGTCTACCGATGCCACAGACACAGCCGAGCTAGGTGTGTTTGTCCGGATGGTTTTCACGGATTTTACTGTCAAGGAGGCCTTTCTTGCCCTTATCCCATTGAAAGAAAGAACCAGGGGTGAGGATGTGTACAAGGCATTCAAGGACTATGTTCGTGAGTACAAGATTCCCATTCATAAAACAGTGTCCTTCACAACCTTTCTTGCCCTTATCCCATTGAAAGAAAGAACCAGGGGTGAGGATGTGTACAAGGCATTCAAGGACTATGTTCGTGAGTACAAGATTCCCATTCATAAAACAGTGTCCTTCACAACCGATGGGGCACCAGCGATGCTCGGTGTTCGTTCAGGATTTGTTGCGCTGTGCAGAAAAGACCCAGACTTTCCACCATTTGTAAACTATCACTGTGTGATACATCAACAGGCATTGGCAGCTAAAGCAATTGACATGTCACATGTAATGAATGTTGTTGTTAAGATTGTCAACTCAATTCGCGCAAAAGCACTCCAGCACCGGCTATTTAAGTATTTATTGGACGAGCTCGACTCTGTGTATGGAGATTTGATCCTTCACGCAGATGTAAGGTGGCTCAGTCGGGGCAAGGTGCTTCAGCGTTTTCTGGATTTGCTGCCAGAGATCATCAGTTTTCTGAAGTCGAGGAACGAGGAGTATGAGCAGCTGTCCGACGATACTTGGTTATTGGACTTGGGGTTCCTTACCGATCTGACTGCAAAACTCAATGACCTTAACCGAGAATTGCAAGGGAAAGACCGAGAGCTTGGTCACATGATTAGCGCAGTGGAGGCATTCAAAGTGAAGCTCAGTTTGTGGACCACTCAGTTAAGACATGCGAGGCTGACACACTTCCAAAATCTTGAAAAGGTGTCACAAAACCTCACAGACAAAACTGCTTTCCATCCTGAACAATTCTGCGCCCATTTGAACAAACTGACATCAGAATTTGGTGCTCGATTTGTGGAGCTACAAGACATGGGGCAAGCAGTTGGTTTTGTATCAAACCCTTTGCTCAGCATTGACATTGAACAGCTGTCAGCTAAAATGCAGGAGGTGTTTACATTACCTATGGGTGTTGACATGGAGATCATTGAAATGCAAAGCGACATTGAATTGAAGGCCAGAGCAAGAGATCAGGGTTGCGTTCCAATAGTCCATTTAGCTTAGGAACCTTCCTAACCAAGTGAAATGACCCGGAAGTACGTCAGTGGCAGCCATGTTAAGTGCCGTTCCAATTCTCCAAATGAAAGGAAAGGAGGTTTCAAACTTCCTTTATAACCTCCTTTAGCTTAGGAACCACTGGACCTCCCTTGACGAAAGGAGAGGAGAAAATGCTGCCCCACAATGCATTGCAGCCGCAGCATTTGCCGTCACTCAACAGTCGGCCGTTCACGGAAACAACCGATTATGACCGAGAAATGATATCATGAAAGTTACGGTGCTTATTAAGCATTTTAAAACGTAGCCTATGTGGTAAGTTGCCAAAGTGCTTTTTTCTGAACGTTCATCAGTATTATAATCAAAAACAGAAATATGAACGTTAGTTTTTACTGAAATGATCAAATAAAGTCAACATTTCACAGTGTTTACTGAGCTGTGTGGGGTTTGTTCAACTTTTAAAAGATGTTTGAATGGTGATGTACACAGTGATAGATGTTAAGGACTAACGTTTATAATAAATACATTTGTATTGATTTTAAGATATTTTCATAGTTCATACAATCATACTGGGATCATTTGTATTAATGTGGACCGGAGGGAGAGGGTGACGAGCATAAGTTTCACTTTCCTTTTTTATTTCAATTCCAACTTTGGTCATGAAGAATATGTTTCTCTGTTGTCCACGTTCATAAAGCATAAAGCAACAGCATCAGAGCACGGTGCAGAGTCTCTAGATGAGTTTACAGTAGTCCCTCGTTCTTATTAAACATCCATGTTGTAGTCCGCTGTATAGAAAACTGTTGTTTCCATAGTTTCCCCACAGCAGCAGACGCACATTCATGACGTCCGTTGGCGCTTCATAAACACGTCGGATAGTGAAAGTGCAGTCGATTCTCTAAAGTACCACAGTCTCTTCTCCTAAGTCCTTTTGAATTCTCCTATACACTATCCCTTAACCCCGTGACGTTTCATTCAGAGGTCAAGGAATAGGAGATAGGGTTAGAATTTAGGAGCAGATTTTTGGATTATCGGAACGCAACCCTGGACTTTTGGTCACTCGTGAGTAGAGAGAGGTATCCACTGATTGTGTCAGGTGCGCTTAAACTGAAGGCCTACTTTGGCTCCACATACTTATGTGAAACGGCCTTTTCACAAATGAAAATAATTAAATCCAAGTATAGAACTCGTATGACTGACGCATATCTTACTGACTGCCTCCGGCTGGCAATCACTAACTATTAGCCAGATTTCAAAAGGCTTACAGATAATGTGCAGTCACAGCAGTCTCATTAAAGGCAGGCTGATAGAGCAACTTGAGCATTGAAAATATATTGTGCATTGAACAGAGTAACTTAATATGGATTACATTGAACTGTACATGTATAGGCTAATATCTGTACATGTGAATACTACTAATTGAACTGAGAAACTAAATATAGTGCATTGAACAGATACTGTAAATATTAATAGTTTGTATTGAACAGATAACTGTGCATAACTGTGTCTTTCTTTGTGTGCATCTTTACACGTACATTGAGCCTGTTGTAACATAAATTGATTGCAAAAATAAATATGACGATGAATAGTCTTACTCCTAAGTGGGTTTTTTGGAAGATATTGGATTGGTAGATCTCGGTTTACATTTTGGAATAAAAAGTGATCTTGGGCTTGAAAAGGTTGGTTACCACTGCCATAGACAATACATTCACTCTAGATGGGTGCCCACTTTCATTTAAATATCCATTAGTAAAAAATGTTGCTGGACTATCGAGTCATATTTTTCTCCTCATAGACACCCTATTTCTCTCAACACATTTCTCTAGTTGGAGGAGTTCTTGACATAACATACAGGATAGTGCTTCCTTAAAGTGACAATAAACTAAACTTTGCTAAAGAGATGCACCTGTTGTCTTGTGTACAAGCTGTGGAAACACCAAACGGACAGCTCAATCCTCAATATGATGCACAAACTCCTCCTCTTGAGCTTTGGATGACATTGAATGTTGTTGGTTTTCTTGTATCTCTGATAAATATATTCAATATATTCTGCCAGCCACTGACTGACCTGTAACAAGTGTCCTTCCTAAACCATGTGACCCATGGGTGAATTTTACCATGTGCAAACTCCTCTGACGTCATTGGCGTCACCCACCTTCACCTTTGTGCCAAGGTAAACTTTATTAGCTTTTAACCGTTTGACAGTCAACACAATACTTTGGTAATATTTACTTGGTCCTATACGGTTAAAATGTACGTATCACAATGATGATACAAATGGTATGCATTGCCATGAAGGAATTAATTAATGAATTAATGTTCTATATTATTTTAATGACTGATTGAACTCCAGCAGTATTCTTTTAGATATGTTATATGTTGAACTGCTTTGCCTGTCATCTCTGCTCTGTGTCATTGTGTTGTCTCCTGGGTTCTGTAGTGCCCGGAGTCTGTCTTTTTATTTCTTCCTCCCAACCCCCATCCCCTCAGGATGCCTTTTGCCTCCTGTCAGGTCA